GCTCACTGATTTTTATTTTGTTATGTCACAATGACAAAAACAGTTTCAAAATTATCATTGGTTACTAATTCACGTCTTTACAAAAAACAATCAAGAAAAAATATTTCATTTCAGTAGTTGTATCTTTATTAATTAAGATCTATTCTGCTCTATCATTATGCCTAATCACATAGGGAGAGTATATGTGTATAAAATATACAATAAAATATTCCTCAGTCTAGTTTTGAAAATGCTATAGAAGAAATTAAAGAATAATATTATTTATATAGAAGAAATTAAAGAATAATATTATTTATATTATTTCATAGTTAATAATACCTTACAGGCATCCAGTTAAAAAGAAAAAAAAAGAATAAGGTCTGATGAGTACAGCAAGTTACTTTGGTTCATTTTCTTACTTTCATAGAGTAGTAAAATGACATGGAGTTTTATTCTGTTGTGTTTATTTTGTGTGGCATTATACATTTTTACATAAAATTTTATCAGGCTTACTTTAGTAGTTTAGTTTTATTTTTCTACTGTAGTTTTCTCCTATTATTTAAACAGAAACAGCTCTTACCAACCGGAGTGTAACAATGCGAAATCCACATCTATATAGGATAGCTATGTGAATAATATGTTGAATAACTAGAAGACATCTGATCAAAATCATTTACCTGTGCATGTCACATGATGAATGAATATAATTGAATATCATAAACCATGGAGATATTTTCTTTTGCCATTTTAGGCCTCCATATTTCCCTCTCTTTGTATTTATAAATGAAGTTCCTATTTTTTTTGTTAACCAAGAGCCAACAAAATTTGTTTTCACATTGTAATATGCACTTATTATGTCAAATAGAAAACTGTGCATGTCTACAAATTACAGGTATATAATTATCAATACCTCTAGACAAGTTTGGGTATCATGAGGTTAATGGAAACATTCATTTGTAGGAAAAGAACCGAGCTGTTAAAATTGCATGAATTTAAAGCCTCCTTTACTTTTTGGATTAAAATTAATGACAAAATAGAAACAGACAGAGAGGTACAGAGAACAAAGTGAAGGTTACCAGATGGGCAGGATGTTGGGGAGATGCATGGGAATGGCGAAGGGATTCAGAGGTACAAATTGGTGGTTACAAAATACAGGGATGTGAAGTACAGCCTAAGGAATATGATCAATAATACTGTAACAACTATATATGGCACTAGGTGGGTACTGTAATTATTGGGGGAGGGTCATTTCATAAATTACGTAATCGACCATTATGTTGTCCACCTGAAGCTAATATAAATAATATAGAGAAGTTTAGGGCAGAAGTCTATTAAGGTTTCTATCTCTCTGCCTAATTTGGCATTCCTATTCTTGTACAGTTGGTGTTAAAAAGCATAGTAAAAGTAGAACTCCCTGAATATTCATTTAAAAATAAAAATAAACTTCTTAAAAATAATGTATCCTGCATATTCAGTATATTTTTATTCGTATTTTATTTTACACATGAAGTTCGTTAGTATTTTAAGTAGATGTTTTATTCAGTCGGCCCAGTAATTTTAAAGTTTTACAGGTGTTTTCGACCTTTCCTGAGAAAGACCAGTGCGTCGAGGTACATACGTGTTTTATTACCATATATTTGATGTTTGTGTGGCCGTGGGGCTGTCACACGAACCATCACTGCCTGCATGTTTGGATTTAGGAAAGACACTTTTAGGGAAACTCATTTCAAGTTTAAATTCTATTGAACACTATACTTTTTTTTTTTTTAATTTGACTTATTGTATAAATTCGTAATATTTACTAAAATACTAAGTTAAATTGACTTGTATTCCCCCATTTATTTGGTGCATAATAATGCACTCACTATCTCTATTTGAAGTAGTTTCTTATTTTTCAAGAGCTTTGATTTATGTTTAGAAGATATTTATATACATGATTAAAGGACTATACTACCTAGCATAAATAACAAAGTACTCACAAAGTCCAGTCAAATGTTTACACTGTTCACAGATAGAGAAAATAGTGTTATTATTTGTTTAGCCACTTACTGAAATAGTGCAGATTTGTTTAGCCACTTACTGAAAGATTGGGAAGTCAGGGTATGATGAATACCCTGACAGTGGAGAGGAGTGGCGGCTGAGATAAATTTTAAAATCCCTTAAGCTCTCTGTTCTTATTATTCCAAGGCATCTTATGTCCAGCAATGGCCAGGTTATTAACATATTGACTATTTAATATATAACCTGGAAGAATCTGGTTTATTTCTAGAAGTAATTTCCCATGACATTAATTTCATTTTTTGTTGAGTGAAGATGAATGTGTAGAAAGCCATGTGGTTTAGAAAATTTAACAACAGACTGGCAAAAGGAAGAGAAGAAGTTATAGCTCTGAATATCCTTAACTTTTGCTGTCAAGTGGCTTCCTTAACTTTTCAAATTAAAGGAATACATTCAAATGTTATTAAATCATGTGGTCCAAAAGGACCAATAGTGAACTGTAACACCCTTGTACTTTTTTATTTCCAATTCCAAAGCCATTACTTTTATCATTTCTGTTCTTAGTTTTTCTATGAATTACTTTTATAAATCTAAACCAGAGGTTGGCAAACTGTGATTCATAGGGCAAATTCAGTCCACTGAACTTTATATTAAGGCCTATGAGCCAGGATTTTTATTTTTTACATTTTAAAAGATTGTTAGAAATCAAAACAACCAATCAATCAATATGAATATATGACGGAGACTATACATGCTCTTCACAGTCTAAAATATTTACTATCCGATCCTTTACAGAGAAAGTTTAAACCTCTGGTCTACATGGCATGTGTGTGGGCGTGTGTGTGTGTGCACACACACCCATATGTACATTCACACAAATATATGTGCTTGTTAATTTAATAATCTAAACATTTAATTTTTCACTGTATAACAAAGACTAGCTTATTCTACTACCAGTCTACCTCATATTGCTAGTTCTGATATTAGTATTAACTTTTTCTTTAGTTACATTTGTAGCTTTAAATACTGTAGTATTCTTTAAAAAAAAAAAGATTTTATTCCTTTTCAGAAAGAGGGAAAGGGAGAGAGGAAGAGAGGGAAATATTAATGTGTGGTTGCCTCTTGAATGCCCCCAACTGGGGACCTGGCCTGCAACAGAGGCATGTGCCCTGACTGGGAATCAAACTGGTGACCTTTTTGTTCACAGGCCAGTACTCAATCCACTGAACTACACCAGCCAGGGTGAAATACTGTACTATTCTAAAATCTCTGTTTTCTGTTTCAGCACTGTTGGGTTGGCATAAGGGCAGATCTATAAGTAGTGATTAGTGGAAATTATCTTGGTTTTTGTCCAGAAATAGTCACATTTTAGAAATTTACATCACTGAAGCCAGTTAATTTATATCCAGAGGGTAGTACAATGCCTGGTACTCAGTAAGACTCTAATATTTCTTGAGTATACGTTTGTATATATATTTGTACGTATAGGACAGTTTGTTTCTCAGGAGTTCCCGCTCTCATGTTTGCAGAGGCTTTTATTGGTTTTTATAGTTGATGGCATAGTTGTTGTATTTCTTATCATACTTAGTTACATCCAACAAAGTAAATCAGAATTTAAGTAAACTTATTTGTCATTACTTGCTGAAATATCTTCTGTTTTGTTTTTAAATTGCCGTAGATAACTTAGGTGACACATTTTCCTTTTCATGGAGTTAGGATGTTGCAAAAAAAAAAAAAAAAATGACTTCGGCATTGAGATGATATCACTCAGACACTCCACAAATACTTAGAGAGCTTCTTAATCAGCCACACACTGTACTACAAAGTATTGTAATAATGCAGTGATGAACAAGACAGTCATGATTGCTGCCCTTGGGGAATTTAGTGGGAAAGACAGGCAAATAACAGTTATATGCACATACAAATGCAAATTGATGTAAATAATTTGAAGGAAAAGAACAAGTTATTTGAGAGAATCAGAGAATAAAGTTCTAAATCATGACCTTTTCATATACAGGGCCCAGCACAAATAATACCCCTTTCTTACTACAAAATCTTTTATTACAAAATGAGAAACATGTAATTCTGTAACATAACAATATAATACTCAAGCACAGACCTGTGGCATTTTGGGTGAAATATACAAATTAAAACTAAATTATTACACTCAAATTATTACCCTACCAAGCCCACTCGAACAGGCATTACTTCTGCTGGACCCTGTATATGCAGGTAATGTTTAGCATGCTAAAATATTTTCATTCCTCTAGGGCAGTAGTTCTCAACATTTGCATGCATCAAATTCACATAGAGCATTTGTTAAAATGTGTGCTTTACAGTTCCAAGTTCAAAATTTCTTACTTACCAGGTGTGGATGGGCATGAGGATTTGTTTTTCTAATAGTTGTAGATGTTTGTGATTCTACTGATCCTAGAAACTGCACTTCAAGCACCACTGATTTAGGATGGTGGTTTTCAGTCCTTTGGAATCACTTGTAGAACTTGAATAAAATATTGATACCTAGCTTCTGTATTTGGAAATTCTGATTTAATTGTGTGGCCATATGAACTGAGTATGGAGCTTTTTAAAATACCCCAGGTGGTTCTGATATGCAGCCAGGGTTGTAAGCTACCCAATCTAGAATTGAGTACCTATATATGTACCATTTTTACTGGGTTTGATATAATCCTTACAGTGGTAAGAATACATGGGAAAGATGGGAAAAGGTTGGACTAGAAGGCTTCAGTAAAAATACGGTCCCTGAGCTAAGGCTTAAAGGAGTTTCAGTCAACACTGTAACTTGACAGAGAGATGAGGGAACGTCAGGCAGAAGAAACGGTAAGAGTAGGTTTTGTTTCATAAATAACCTAGACTGAATTTCTAAAATGTAATCATTCTGATATTGAGAGTCCCCTGTGTCAGAAAAAGAGGGGACTATTTTTAATTTACAAATACATATAAAATAAGTATCATCTGCACCACATTCAAATAATTTAAATTCATTAATATGTTGTATTTAATAGGATGAGGAGAAGAAACCGAAAGACTAGGCGATATGGAGTTCTGGATACCAACATAGAAAACATGGAACTGACACCTTTGGAACAAGATGATGAGGATGATGATAACACACTGTTTGATGCCAATCATCCTCGAAGGTAAGTGTTGAGCAGTTTAGTTTCATGAATCAGGAGGTAAGTCCTTGAGAAGTAAATTGAAAAAAATAAAGTAAAATTTAATATTTAGTTTTTATCCCAAAAGGTTTTACTCAGTTCTGTTTACTGAAGTTCTTTATATTCCCCAGCCAATAGCTCACATTTATGTTGCTTTACTAAAATAAACATAAACCATAGAATACCATCCCCCAAATAATTCTTTATTGTAGATCTGTTTGCGGAGATTTGTCCCTTTAACTCCCTTTAACTGCTGTCTACTGGTAATATGTATTAACTCTGTGTGTGTGGGGGGGAGGTTAGTGAAGTTGATTTTATTATTGCATTCTGAAGATATTTTGGTGTTAGTCTGGGTTACTCTGTTTGCCGTATTTCCCAGAAAAATTTTGGGACTTACGGTGTATGGCCTGATAGTGTTGCTATGTCTTTTCTCAAATCTAGCCTCAGTGAGTGTTAAGACCTATCCTAAGATGTTTGGGTAAGTGAAATTATATTAATATAGAATTTCTCCCAGTGCGAATGAATGAAGGAAGGAGGCAATAAAGATCCCTTTCAATAGGGAAGGGCATTTTGATACAGGCGTAATTATTTTGATAAAGGAGTCTATAATCAGGTAAAAATGCACAGTACAGAAACCTGAGACTTCAAATATAATATATTTACTAAATTATTTCTATATGACCTTTTAGTTGCTCATAATTCATTTAATTAAAATATATATTTGAAATGCCGGTTGTACCATTAGAGTAGTATTAGAGACTGAATATATAAATATTAACAAAACAACTGCATCTGGTCATTAGAGACCCAGTCTCTTAGTGAAAACTTACATGAATAAAATTCATTACATAAAAATTTTAGAATATTTGAATATGCATTCTGAAAAGCCCTTAAATTGCCTATGAAGTATTATGCAATTCTCATTAAGTGGAATATTGCCAGTGGTTCACTGCTTCTTTAGTGCGAACCAGAGAAAGTTGCTGGCATGCATTTAAGAACTATCGTATATAACAGAGACTTACCTTGATACATTAGAAATCACAGTCTAAGAATAATGTGAAATACAGTTGGAAACTGAGACAGACAGAGGGAATGGCACATCATTTCTGGGATTTTGGGCTCACCCTATAGAAGATGCTTATTGGATAGAATGGGGAGTGGAGTCTCGCTTATATATGATTATTATTTCCTTTTAATTTTTTACAAAATTTTTACAATATTTGAAAAGTACAGTATTTGAAGTGTTCTCAAAAACTAAGTACGTGTGAAACACCTCTTCTGTACAAACACAGAAAGGGAAGACCAAAAAGGAACTTGTTAACTTAGGAAGTCAGGGTTGTTTCCAAAGAGGAACTGAATTTGAACCCTGGTTAATATATTTCAAATAGGCTTGACTAAAGACAAAGTTTGTTGTAGACAGAAGCAACTACCTGAAGTTCAGTAGTTACGAAGTATGGTAGTTCAGGGAATGCACCAGAAAGTGTCCAGACTATAGCCTATTGTATGTATACATGTACATTTATACTGGCAGGATTGAGTTAGGAGGACCAGCTGTGAAGGACACACAGATACGCACTTTTGAGAAAAATACGCAGTTTTGTGATCTACTAAGGAGTTTGGTATTACCTTGCCATCATTGGAGAATTATTCATGCTGTCTCTCTAGAGTGCATGTAATCAGATTATCAGATTTGTGTTGTAAAATAACACTTTTTTTTTTTCATCTTCACCCAAGGATATACTTTATATTGATTTTTAGAGAAAGAAGAATGTTGCGGGAGCATGGGGCTCCTGGATCTGAGGGTTACTGTCCAGGGCCAGCTGAGGCGGGGAGCATCGGCTGATCCCGCAGAGCCCAGCCCGGGGTTGTCATGGATGGGGGCAAAAAAAATGAGTTGTTGCAGAAAACTTCTCTGATTGCCAGGAGAGGGGTGGCTCTTCCCTCTTCTGGAGAAGGTCCCGAACCCCCATGTCCAAAGGCTTTTATTAAGAACCATGTGCTCAGAGGTATACAACAAAGCTTATCAATCAAGGTCAAAGGCTATGTTTACAGAAAACAAATAGAGATCATAGGTAACAATTGAAGGAACACAAGAGATCTGTCTCAGGTCAGGGTCTATGAATAATGTAAGTCTCCCTCCCAGTATGAGTCAGTTATCATAGTTTTTGAGGGAAGAACAAAGCATGCTTCAATGGACTTACTTCTAGGCCTGCTTTCCCTCCAGGAGCCACCAGATCCAGCTTAGGGCTGTACCTGCCTTTAGTATTGTTTCAAGCCTGAGCCAGGCGGTCGGGGCAGAGCCACCAAGAGATAAGGAGACTTCTTTCAGATAGAATGAGGACTCCGGCCATATCAAAGCCGGGGGGTGAGGATCTTTTGCCCTTTTTCCGTGTCCCCCAAATTCTTCCCTGATGCCCATGTGGGCTGTGCCTGACTTAAGTTGACCCTTCCATCGAGGGATCTTACCTGTCATTGACTACCAGCCATCTCAGGGCCAAGCAGGGTGATGTGACAGGTTTTATCTCTTCAGTGGCCTGTTTTCCCGTGGCCTCCTTGATTATTTCCAGGCTTGGAGCCCTCTTGCCTGTGAGTGGGGCTCCAGTTCCTGAAACCAGACAGGGTGTTTCCCAACAGAGGAAGGGATGGGGGCAGAGGGTGGAGAGAAACATGGATATGAGAGAGAAATCAGTTGCCTCCCACACATGCACCAACCTAAGTATGTGCCCTGATTGAGAACTGAATACACAGCCTTTTGCTATACAGGGCAACGCTCCAACCAACTGAGCTACCTAACCAGGGCAAAACAATACCTTTTTTATTAGTGGGGAAGGTGGCCTAGGAGAGACGAAGAGAGGAGAGGCACGAAGAAGGGGTCAGTTTCAATGAGATATGATTGCCTATAGCTATCTTTTAGTCTGTATCCTGCCTCATCAGAGACCTTCCTCTAATATTTATCCAACTCTTATACCCCACTCTTCACGAATCTCGCATTCCTTTAGGGAGCTAGACATTAATCAGAGTTACATAGAAGAGGACATCTGGGTGGGGATTGGAAAGAGAACAGCAGGCACAAAGCACCAGAAGCAAAAGAGAGTATAGCACATTTAAGGGACTAAAAGAAGTTAAATAGATGCCGTATTACCATGTGTGATGAATGAATGAACGAACGAATGAATGAATGAATGATTTTTGAGCTTCAAATACAAATGAAAGTAATAGGTAATGCAGAACAAAGAATCAGGAGGCAGATCGTGATCCAAATTAATCAGTTAGAAATTATTCTACAAGTTATAAAAGCCACTTGGAAAATTTCAGACAAATACAATCAAAGGTGTATTTCAAAGTTTATTCTGCAGTGCATTGCAGAAGAGTTAACATAAGGAGTCATGTGACTAGGAAGAAGATCAGTTAGATGGTGCAAGTACATGGGGTGACCAGTACTAAGTACTAGAGTGATAGCAAGAGAGGTAGAGAGGAGTAAATTATTCAACAGGCTTTGAACAGTGGTATCAAGATTTAGGTATTGTGTTTTGAGGATAAAGGAGGGAGAAACAGTAACAATAATAGAGAAGCAAATTTGAGGGATAATGATAATTACCATTAAGTCCTGAGTCAATTGAGTCTTGAGTGTTTTAGTAGTATGACTCCATTTATTTAAAAAAAGCCTTAGGAATAAAAACTTTAATGTGCAGATGTCTAGATAAAGTAAAAACAGCAAATTATTACTGCTTTTTATTCATTCATTCATCCATACATTTATTTATCCAATGGATGATGTGGCTGCTATTTATATTACAACTCTTCAGTGCCAGGTACTGGTCTACATGCTTGGGACACATTAGAGCAACAAAACAGAAAAGAAAAAAAAAAAATTCCTGACTTTGTGGCGCCTAGCTTCTAGCAAGGAATAGGTGAGATGAAGTTGACAGTCCCTTTTTATTTTCACTTTTTTTCTGTATTCTTCTATGTTGTTTGATTTTTATTTCTTTGAAGAGCATATATTCATGTGTTACTTAAAAAAAAAACCTTTTTGTTTAGGGATAACAAAATCTACAGAAAAGTTACAAGAATAAAAGTATTACAAAGAATACCCTATAATTTTTTACGTAGATTCACCTATTCTTAACATTTTATGTAATTTGTTCTCTTGTATGTTCTCTCTCTCTCATAAAATAGACACAAAAGAATGCATCTCCCTCATTTTATATTTACTGGATGTTCTGGTGTTTCATTATAATTAGATTCAGGTTATGCATTCTTAGCTGAAATACTTTGTAGATCATCCTATCTCCTTCTCAGGATGCCGTATCTGAAGACACAGATGACCATCCTTCATCAGCAGTGGTGATTCTGATGCATCTGTTCTAGGTTTTATCCCATTTCTCTAATATGTTGTTGCTTTCTTCCCCTTTGAAACTAACAAGGAGACATTTTAAATCATGACAATATTCTGCTTCTCATTAAAATTCCCCCCCCCAGGTTTAACACTCATTCATCCTGTTCTGATCTTCACTATTATAGTTGCAAAATAATGATTTTCCAGCTTCAATATTTGCTTCATATTTACCAAAGATTCTTACCCTCTGTAACTTAGAAATTAAATTTACGTGAGGGGATATATATACAGTCCAAACTCTGTATTTCATTTGAAGCTGATTCAGTCAGTAGCTCTCACTCTGATTTTCTGATGTTGGTGTTAGAGATCAAACATACACTATGACATCAATCTATTTAATTCAAATTTATCTTATGGGAAAGATGCATATAGACCTTACTGTGACTCACTTTAATAACACATGATAATCATGAATAATGCTATTTCTCCCAATAAAGGCGAAGAATCAATACTCATGGAGACTGGATTAAAGGTTTCTTGGGGCCCTGAAAAAGGGTTTCACTAGGGCTTCCCAGAGCAGCCATGTAAATGGTAGGAGAAACGATGGAATGGGTGATAGGACAGCGGTCAAATGCCTTTAGAGGGATAG